AGTTATGAGTTCGTATTCGCTTCACCACGCCACGCGGCCACTGTCACACTTTACATCACACACACATACACTATGGACTTGTAACCTGGGCACCTTCGAAGGAACAAGACAACCTACGACTCGAACAGATAATTAAAAACTGAGGAACAGGGAAATAGCTTATTCGGTATCGAAGAAGCGCGTATGACGTATGATTAGTAATGAGCGAAAATACTCTAAACTGGGTGATTTCACTCAAATTTTTATTGTGTAAAACTATAACATGAGTTTTTTAAGTGAATTTTTCTATTCCATTACTCAAAGATAGGGGTTATAACTCGAACATGAGCTTATTCAATAGCTATTGATTAAATAGAGATCATATTTGAGTAAAATGATGAATTTACTCTATTTTAGATAAAAATGTACTCAATTATTTCACTCAAAAAATTCACTCCCTGAGAAATATGTGTTCACTCAGGCTGATTTTTTACAGTGTAACAATAAAATTGGTATGAATTGTTTCATAGTCAGCGCCCAAATTTGTCAATACAAGTCACAGAATCATACCATCAATCTGTAATGGAATTTGTGGTGTATCAGGTATTTTTAATTGTTATTATTAAAAGTGTCATAGTAATATTAAGGGTTGATGATATATATTTCAAGTATGTGGACATCTTAGTACAAGATATAAGATGTATTTTAGCATAAACTTATTTGTAGTTTTGACATTTTTTCCAGTCAAATATAACTCGTATTATATTGACATTCTGGTGCGCGACTTTTACTTTTCTTTTGAACACTGTAGTAGCTAAAAACTGAGATTCGACCGGATTCGGGTTGACTTAATTTGTTTCTTATTAAACAGTCCCTCTGCATTGTTTTCCATTGAAATTTAACTGCCAAGAACTGCTAGTAGCTAATATACCGGGACTTTTGAGGTGTCATGTCTTTACAAAAGAAAGCATTTTTTAGGCCTGGTGGCACGAAAAAGACGCCAAAACGAAAAACTTGGCTGTCATTCAGTATGTTGTTAAAAAATTAAATATAAAAGATCTTGATGAACACACATATACTGAAATTATCCAAAAAAATTAAGAATTTTACAGGTAAATTAAATAAAAAGTGGCATAACTGCCATCGCACTTTAAAAGTGTTCGTTGCGCGCTCTCATCTGTGGCTTGATGAGGAAATAGATATTCTTCCTAGTCAATGTGATGCAAATATGTCATTCTATTCCGAATGTGTTTTTCTATAGAATAAAGTAGAAATATACCGAGGGTGCCATTTACAAATCAAAAATTGTAGTCATTTCCGGTGAAACAGGAGGTTACCAAAAATAATTGAATACGTCAGTCAATCCTAATTTATGTCATATACCTACTAACATACCAAATCTCGTTTCTTTTTCTGAAAAAATAAAAAAGATATAGGGGTAAGCCACTTTTGAGACGCACCCAGTATATACTTTAAATTGCAGTTGTAAAAATGTTAAATGAATTAGACATTTTTATTTATCATATCTAACAAATTCAGCACAAAAATATACACATATTAATTTTATACGAGTCTGAAATAAAATGAAGATCGCTGTCATTTTATATGTAAAATTATATTGGAAATGTCATCGATCGTCATTTCCAAGCCAACTGGACGCCGTTTTTTTTTCGATCATACGGTATTTATTGAAAGACATGCTTCCTTAGGCAATAGCGTATATAAATTGTTAGAAACTAATGGTAAATCAAGAATTTTTGTTGATATTAATTTTTAATTGCTAGATTATTCATTTTACCCACTGTGCGTCTGTCTGTAACAGAATAACTCAAAAACCGCTAAACCGATTTTAACCAAATTTGGCACAAAAATACTGTGGCACCCGAGAATCTGGCCATTAGTTTTTGATGGGGGTGGGGGGTTGGTAAGGGGGTATGGGAGGGGGTTAAAAATTTTAAAAAATCGTAACTCCAAAATTACACTAGCTAGCGAAACGCGCTTTTCAATTTAAGATTAGGAATAATATTTGCAACAAAATTTGTAATAACATCAAAATCAGTCAAAGTCGCAGTTTTTGAGATAAAAAAAATGGAAAAATTCCTTTACTTTGAAACTAAAAGAACTGCCTGCCAACTTTTTATTAACATATTTTAGTATGGTATGGTTTAGTACGTGCCTCCCGGTGATAATTTTTTTTATCCGAACATTCTACTAGAAAGTTGATAAAGTTGCGTTTTAAGCTTGATTTTCATGCATCCGTTGTCCGACCATACGTTGATACTAGCGATGGGAACTATCGATTGAATTAGACTATCGAATGGTTACTGAATGAATGATTTCAACTATCGAATGGTTTTATTCGAATAAAATCATTCATTCATTTGTATACTAAAGCATATGTGACAACCTCGCCGTGCGACTAAATGGTTATCGTTGAGCCACGACTATCGAATGTTTTTGACAAATGAAATTTAGTATTCGTTTGATTTTTGTGTGCGTCAGTGCATTATTAGTTCTTCCAAATTTTTATAACTTCGCCTTATAAATACTGTGCTATTTTTGCGTTTATTAAAATATTTAAAATACTAAAATAGTAGTTTTTTTAATTGACGATTGTGTGCGTGTGCAGGTGGTCAAAATTTTTCCGAAAGTTTGTGTGATTTTCCGTAGCCCGATCTTTCAATTATTTAATTTTATATGGTATATGGTCTATTTTTTAATGGGAAATTTTGAGAAGTAGCAATTTTTAAGAGAGATGAGATGAACTTACAATTAATTTTAAAAATACATATTTGTATTTTAGATGTTTTAATAATATGAATTAGTTGAACTTAATAATTATATTAATTAATGTGGTTAAGTAAATGGTTATCGAACTCAGACTATGGGGTGAGAAAATTAAATTAAAAGTTTTACACGTGCCAATTTAAAAAAAAGTTAACGATGTTTGTATTTTGTTTATGCTAATTCTCTTACATGTAGTTTTTTGCGAAGAAATATTTCATTTATTTTTTAGTAAGTAAATACCAGTAAAAGTAAATATTATTATTATTAAATAGTAATATAAAGTACCGAATATAAATAATTTTGATTTCTAATTTTTATTTATATTTTCCTTGCATTACACTGCACGCTTAGAAAATTAATAAATGTTTATATTTCATGATTTTAAAATTTGTTGTTAATATAACAAATTAGTTCTGTAATTATTATTATTTAATAAACCAACGTTGCCACAAAAAATTGAGAGACTATATTATTTTTAAATAGGATCTAATATAAATAATTTTGACATCAAATTTGTTGTTTATATTTTGCTACTACTTAAAAAAAATGTTTATATTAAATGATTTCAAATTTTGTTGTTAATAGGTATAACAAATTATTACTGTTATTATTATTTATTAAACCAGTCTTTGCTTAAACACATTAAAAATAATTTTCCTACATCCAAAATAACAAGTATTATTGCAGTGTAACAACAGAATATTAATAAAAAAATATAAAATATATAGACATACTATCCCTAACTAACTAAAGCCAAACAATAATATTCTTTGCTAATATCAATTAATACCGAGACTAATACCAATATATGGCAACAGCGCCCTTCATAATGTATTTTCTGTGTAAATACTAGCACCTCAATAAAAAAAATAATGTGTCCTTATCTTTATCTGACTCCACAAAAAATCAAAGATGCCGGCTTCTTTCATAGCATTGCCACCGACCGGGTTTTTCGGAAAGAAACCTACGTCGCCGGGCGACAACTAAAATCCAGTTAATATTTTATTATAATCGATCCTGACGAATAAATGAATTTTCTAAATGAATGAATTTTATAAATGAATGGTTTTTGCTGCCGAATTACTAGAATACAATATTTCAAGGCAGATGACGCATCTATTCGATAATTTTTATTCGAATAGTTTTCAACGAATGTTTTTTTACTAGCTATCGAATTATTCGAATGAATTGCAACTATCGAATGTTTCGATAGTATTCATTCGATAGTTCCCACTACTAGTTGATACGATATAAATTTTATTGGTAGAATTTAAAGATTTTGAGTGGTTAGAAAATAACCCAGTTTTTAAATTTATTTCATTTTCATGCCTCCGTTTATCGGATATACGTTGGTGTTATTTTATATTTTCGTTATTATATTAAATTTGTCAAAAAAGTGTCAAAACGTCCATTATCGTATGAACGGGACCGTTGACGGGCTGAAGTAAAATATTTACTGATGAAAAGTGGCTCTAAAATGCTATGACCAATCAGAGCACCGTCGGACCATCGTATAATGGATGCATGAAAATCAAGCTTTATTCGCCTAGAAATATTACGGTACCACCAAACAAAATTCATTTTTTCCAGAGCAACTGTTAAAATTGCCTTATATCTATCAAAAATAGTAGATAAAATAGTACTTTAACCGTAAGGGCAGATTAAATGATACTTTAACAACGAGGATACGTTAAAAACTTTATTTCTTCTCGCACGTTTTTTAATTGCTTTCATTTTTGAAAATTTTTGTATTCCTTTTCATAAGTTATTTCGGATTTAGTTTGGATATGGTGTTTGTCGCCTCAGCCTGAATATCTGTTGGTAATTTACTTATTTCGTTTTGAGCCATTTCTGGCTCTAATTCAATCAGCAATCGACACGAAAGAGAATTAAAAAATATTGACTCAAAACTGACAACTAAAGAGACAGCTTTATTTATTTGTCAAATTACATAGAAACCAACGCCAACCCAGCACAATATTTTTTCTACTCGTAATAAATTCCTTGAAATAATAATTTCTGAATATTTTTTACAACGTAACTCGGCTATGGAAAAAAAATATTGTTTTATACACGACGATAAAATTGCATTATCGTCTCCCGTAATTAATTAATCGTATAATTATTAGTATTAATCTGTTCGGTCGACGATAAAATACAATTGTATCGTCTTGTATAAAAAATAACTAAAAAATATCACGTCAAACTTTATAATAATAATTGTACAATTATAGTACACCTTCAATAACGTCAGTCTGGTGTGCCAGAACGGTTTGAATCTGAGGCTGCCAAAGAAAGTAAAAGAGATGTTCTCCGTCCAGAAGAATTTCATAACCGAAAAATATATGGACATGGTCAATCTCAAATCGTACGTCCAAGTCGTGATGGGCAATCTGTCAAAAATTGACAGGTAGCGTATCCCTCTTTTTATTAGGGGGCATAAATTACATGAGGCCTTTTTAAGGATTTTTTTGAAAATAATATTTTTAAACATTTTATATTTTCTGTCACAGAAAGGAACAGTATATTGTTATCAATGACCATTCTTTGCTGAACTACGACCTGCTGTTCCTAATGTGCGGTGAAAAATTCCAGAAGCCTTTGCAAGACTACCGGATGCCTTTTGCCGAAAATCCCGAAAATGTGTTCGTTATAAACTCACCCACCGATGGGAACAAGGCGATAATCAAGCTGAAAGAAATTAATAGAACCGATAAATGTGATGGTAATAAAACCAGTATATTAATATAAAATAAGAAATAAAATACAAACACTAGATCATCATTTTTTGTAGACACAACCATTGACGATTCCTCGATAAGGACAATTTTCACATAGACTTGTCATAGACTTGAAATTAATTAATGCACAAGAACTTCGGCAAATTTCTTATCCGGTGTTAAGGCTTAAAGCTTTATTCAGAACCTTGCAATTAGTGGGATAAATTAGAGGTTTCAATTACACTTTATACTTTTTAGTTTACGATCATTCAAAATGTCTAAAAATCATAATTAAAATTAATAAAATATCCTAGCAACAACTTGCGGTAGTCTGTTGTATCCATAGAGAGCGCATAATATTTAGCTTATAAAACAATAAACTTTTGATTTTTAACCAAAATTTTTCTTGACAGATGATAATCAAAGGCCAAATGACATTCCTCGCAAATTTTGAAGTATAATTAGTGGAGAAGTCAAAAGTTTGTTAACATTTTCGACTAACTGATAATTACTACCACTAATTATGACGTTCTGAATGCTTACATTAAAAATATGTAAACAAACTTCTACGCTAATTGAAACCACTAATTGCGAGGTTCTGAATGAAGCTTAAAGCTCTCTGTTACTTTCTAAACAAAACTTTTAAGCCTCGTTGTTCCTACTCGGGTTAAAGGGAGTTTAGACTAGAAAACAAAACAAACTTTAAAATTTTAATTGATTTTTCATGACTTCTTATTGTTCAACTTAGTTTAGAACAGTTAGGTATGTTACAACACTCCACCAGAGTAAATGGTCGGTTTACTTACTCTGACTCCACTAACTGGACCAGAACCGTTCTGCTTCTTAAGTGGAATTCAAGACTCCATCTGTAAACTAGAATAGGAATCCTCCATCGGTCTAAAACACTCGTAGAAATTTCCCAGGACTTAGGACTTTGAATAGAATTGTCACGGTGTTTTTTATAACAGGGCACTGTCTGAACACCTCAGTAGATTGAGGCTAAGGAACAACGGCGAATGCAGATTCTGTGGCGAAAATGGGAAAACACCAGAAGAAATCATTATTGAGTGCGCAGGCGCAGAGTCGACAACCATTAGTGCCATAAATTTTAGTACGACTGACATGGGACATGGAAAACTAACCTCTGTAAAACCGCCTCAGACACTGCCCATACAGCACATCAAATCACATTTACTATGTGTTTACATTATTAGATGTAGACACAGGGTGACACAATTCCCCCGATATAAATATGCTACGTTTACACTCTAAGCGTTTACACATTGTAGTTCAACACATATGCACAAAGGTTAAACGTCCGCCTCACCATGTAGCCACAGTATAGCATTTACGTATACACAAAGTAAGGGATACACAGTATGCCGTAGGATACACAGTGCTTGTGTATTACGTTTAAACTCTGTTTACACATTGCAGTTGTGACTACCGCGTGTATACGTATGTATTTTGCTTCGTATATACATCCTGTGCTAGATAAAACTACTTCTTATGAACTAATTTAGGAAAGAATACAAGTTTTGATGCCTAACTTTTCGTTCTTTTTAAGAAATATTTATTCAATGATACCAATTATATATTTTTAGAACGAAAGTTAGGAAGGCAAAACTTTGTATTTTCCAAAAGTATCTCGATCGTAAGTTCAAGAGAAGTCGCCTTAAAATTGTTCCATTTTTGTTTTGTATTAAATGTACATAATATTTCTTCCATAAAATGGACTAAGTGGTTAAAAAATAAAATTCTTATATTTCTTTATATCATGGAACGCAATAGCGCAAATAACACAATAATAATAATTATTTACACTGCAGAAACCAGAAGTAAGGAAACACTGTAAAAGAACAGAATTTGTATCAAAATGTATTAAAAATATAAGTACCTAGTATAACAACATACTAAAATGGTAAACACTGGTATATCGCCACGATTTGGTGGACCTCGTTTAGTCATTTTTTTCTCCTCTTTTCCCTCCAAGCAGTTGGTTTGTTAGCATACTCATTCATCGAGCACTCTGTTGGACTTTGTTGTATTTTATTTCCAGATTAACAATCTCACCCTTAAATTTTATATGAAACTGATATTAAACATATCTGTATAGTGATCCATCAATAACTTACCGAATATCAGTTTAAGAAGTTCTTTGAAGTGTTTAAATCTTTCTTTCTCTGGTCCATTTAGATTTTATTTCCAAATTAAAAAAAATTATATTGCAGAGCTCACCTCTTTATCATTATACGAGAATATTTGGAGTTTTCATTCATTGGAGTCAAAATTTGGTATATTAGGTATCGAGTAAGGGAAGAGTCGCTGCTATAATATTAATAATACTCTTAGGAAGGTGTAACAAGGTAATTAAAAACTTGTGCTTACCTTAAAATCTCTTTTAAACTACATACAAACAGAACATTTATATAGAGCTTCCGAATAATAAAACAATAATGGCCGCTAACACATACCACTCCTAGAAAGGAGAAAGGAGAGAGGACATATGATACGAAGTATCACACATACTTCAGACTTATACATTGTATGTCTCATATACCGTTGTCAGATTTCATCATTTTAATAATTATTTGTTACGTTACAAAAAACTCTTTAGAAACTTGAGTGCATACGGTATACAACCAGTTAACACTGTATCACACAATTCTATCAATATAAACCTGCGTGTATCTCATATGTATATGTTAGAACTAGATGAACACTTAGGTTCACTTTAACATATTTTGTTTCTCCCTTGTAGAAACGTAATTTCATTTGGACGTGCTGTATGGGTGGTTTTTGTCAAAACCCTGAGATTGTATGATGAGTTACAATGCAAGAAAAGGGGACATTTTTTTTCTGATGTTTTGAGCCCCCTAAATATTAAACCTCGCGCTGCCACTGTCCCAGATCATACATTTATACTTTCGTGATTAAAAGAGCGACTTTGTAAATAAGTAACTAATTATTTTTTTCAGATAAAATTATAGTTTATGGACATTTTTTGCAAGCGTACACCTGCCTAGCCGCACTACTGGAATTTGGGATACCCGGTTCAAAGATCATACTAGTCGAGCCCTTTCCATACCTCATGAACATTGACAAGAAAAGAAGACACAATATATCGGTTTTCAATGATCCAGACATTTACCATGCGGTATAATTTAAAAATTATAAATGTTAAATGTTATACGCGGTTGAAGTGCTTAGTTTATTTATTCTCCATTAAAATTTTTGCTTCTTCTAAAATAAAGTTATACTTTCCCAAATTTCCACACCGTTTTGAGAAAAAGAAAAAATGGTTGAGTTCTAAAAATCAAAACGCGTTTCTATGGTAATATTATTTCGTTTTCATTCTTTGATAGATTGTTATTAATCACTAGAACTTTTTCTTTAATGGCCATAAGCGGGAGTAAAAGACCAACCGCCCGAACAAACACTAGAGGCGCCACCGGTCATCAAATGGTCTAAAAATTGCGAAAATTTAATCATCTAATTTTGACACAAGGGGTTGCGCTTAACTTTCTAATTTTTATTTTAATTCTAATTCAATATTCATTGTTTTCAAACTATATTATTAGACTTTGTTGTATTTTGTTCATTCACAAAATACAATATTTTTTTTTTAAATATTTTCTTAGTATAAAGTTGCATTATATTAATTTAAATTATATTACATACATATTTAAAATTTAAATATTATTTACATTGTTTCCGTCTAAAAGATCTGTCTGTCTGTATTTGTATTAGTAAACTTAAAAAACAATTTTTTAAAGTAAACAAAATAAATTGAAAATATTTAGTTTTTTTGTATCGTATCTTATATGGAACCTATCTGAAAACTTAAATCGATTATTAATTGATAATTGGATATAATTGGTTATTGATAATAAACCAGTTGTTTATCCAGTGGCGTCGTAAGTACTTAAAAAAATAATAATAAAAATAAAAATGTCTGATTTTAATGATACACCCTGTATCAATATTTATAAAAATTAGAACTTAAATATCTTAGGTAAGGAGGATTCAATATAATTTATCAGATTTGAAATAAATACTGTCCTAAAGGTAGTTTACTCTTGACTCGAAAAATATCAACCCCATTAAAACGTACGTCTATGAGGTATCGCATTTCTTACCCTGGGCAAAATGTACGTCTTATAGTCATACAGCCTCCTGCCTAAAATGAAAAAGATCGCTCAACAAACAACCAAGATATTGGCTTGTATCCATCTTAAGTGGGACACCCTGTATATTGGAAAGTTTGAAATTGTTTAAAAATTATTTGTGGCATTTGAAAAAAAGAGCATGTTCTATTCGGAGTAAAAATTGCTTTTTGTGCCTCACTTGAAATGTCAAAAAAACAATATACTATTTTTCTTCGTGTTTTAAAGTATGTCCAGTAAAATTTGCACCAACACTCTTTGTAATGGAAATTTCTCTCTATTTTTTGAAGGTTATGGAATTTATAGAAACTCAAGAAATAAAGGTTTATTCTTCATTTTATTTCATCAATTGGCGATACAACGATAAAGAAAACATAGTGACCAGCGTCAAGTTCGAATCGAAACACAAAATGTTAGAGCTGGACTGTCAGGCTATATTCTTTTTTTACGAGAAAAGCATCAGCCCTAAAGTGTACCAGGTTATTAACCAAGCTGGCTTGGTATTCGATGGTAACGAATCAAATGAATAAAAAGATTTTATATTTTTTTCAAAAATTTGTGAAATGCGGAAAAGTTCGGATCATAATACGTTTTTTATAGCTTCAGGTGAAATTTGACTTCGGCTTTTTAGGTCGCTTGTACGGTTATGTAGTTTAACTGAAAGCATTTTATAAAAATATATAGTTACAGTACAGGGTGTGTGATCTTTTCATTTTAAAAGGCATTTATGTGGAGTTCTACCTCGAAAAGCAGCTACAATAATTTCTCTCATGTTATCGACAATAGTTGGTCGAGTTTTGTAAACACTGTCTTTAACATATCCACATAAAAAACCCACACTAGATAAAATCAGGAGCATTCAAGTATTCTATTAATTAGTGAATGCCCACTGCATTCACAAACTAATAAAAATATATCAATTCTCTCTGATGTAGGATAAGTTTGCATTTTCGGCAAATTTCTGAGAATTTTTTTTTGTTTTAATTGATACAAAATGATAACTAGTCGTTAAAGTTGGGACTAATTAAACAGCTATGTTGATGTAACGTCAGACATATCTACCACAGCCACCTAGATTTTATCAAATAATAAAGATCTACTCAGATCAAATCATGTAAATGAAAATATCTAGGAAAATATTTGTTTGAGGGGTAGGGAACCTTAATAGTAGGTATTTAGAAGATACATGAATTCTCCATTGAATATCGGAATAATATACTAGGTTTTCCATTTAAAATAAAAGAGTAACATGCTTTTTAAGGTGACCAATGTTCAATATTAATTTTGTCTCATCCTGTATAACTTTTTGGAAAAAGCCGAAGTCAAAAAATATTAGGCTATACCAGGGTTCTACCGGGTAAATTCCAATTTAGGTAGCTTTTATTGTAATTTAAAAATTGTTCTTTATTTCTAGAAAATGTTAAATATGTCAAACACCTTACATTTTAGTCTTTCTCTTATAAAACTCACCTTTATTTTTCTCCCAGAATCCGAATATCAATTAATATATAGGGTGTTCCATTACAAAAAACACAACTTTGATATGTAACTTTTTTTGGGGACACCCTATTGTAGAAATCTCTATATTTTTAAAAAGTGCTCTGAATTAACCTATATATGCTCACAAAATTTTATTTCAATACAAACTGTCGTTCTCCATGGAGCCTTCGCGGCGTTTGAGAGGCGCCACCCTGTAACATGCCTTGATTAATTTTTAAGCAACTTGCATTATTTTTTAATTTTTGATGTTATTTCTTCATATTGACAGGTACATTTTGTATACCTACGATTGAATATGATTCTTACTGTCGAAGATTGTACTGTATCATGTACTTCATAAATTATAATACTTCATAAATTATTTGAAAATATCGAAACAAAAATGAAACATCAACACCCTGTATCTCCGAAACTAAACATTTTAAGACATATATTTATACAAACTTTTTTATTTATTTTTATCTGCAGAATATGCTGCATTCTGCCGAAGTTTCCGGAATACAGTTTGGACCATCCTGTATAATTGTTATTTGGAATACTAACTACCATGTAGAAACATTTTTAGGTCGTTTGGTGGTAGACAATTACTCTAAAACAAACGACGAGCGTATCTACGGTGCCGGTACTCTAACCAAATACTCCAGAAAGTACTTCGCGGCCAACGTGGTCCATAAATTTTTCAATCGAGTGGAGATCGGCCAGAAACTCGGTCAGCAAATTAGAAATATGCTTCTGCCAGGGTTCGTTAAGAAGTCTGATCCCAAAAAACAAGGATGGAATATCCATTTGGATATCAGAGACCGGTGAGCATTAGCTTTAGTTTGCCAAAAATAAAGTATATTATTTTTAAAGTATATTTATTATTAATTATAAATTTCCAAAAAAAAGTATATTACATACCGAGGAGGGTAGTGTTTCATTAGTGTCGAGAGATTAACTAAATCTCAAGACAATAATGTCAACAATAATAATAAATACAACCACATCATTAATTAAAAAATAAGGACAGTATTTTATTTTGAAAAAAAAATAAATATACGAAAATTTGTTCGTTTTGTGTTTTGGCATTTCCATATCTATAGTATAGACCGATATAGACCGGTACCAGTGGTTGTTATTGCGCAAACCTTCAACTCAAAACAAACAACTAAGTGAGTTTTGAATTTCTCGTTCGTACTAAGGGCTGGCAAAGGTTAGTCTTGGGTCGAGATTTCCGTATGTTAGAAGAGTACAATGCATTTATAATGTACTGAACAAAGAGAGGACAGTAAACACGTTGCCAAACGTATGAAATAAAGCGAGAAACTGTGCACATCGCTAAGAGACGTGGAAGGGGATATAGCAGATTTGTCGCAGTTGACCGGTCGACCCAATCAATACCTCTGACCTCTGTCAGTACTACCTCTAAAGTTCTAGGGAAAGGTGTACGTCATGCGTTCAGCTTCACGATTTAATTACGTCTCGTGATACTTAATTTGTTTATTTATTAACGAGTCGTTGTAATTTTCCCTATAGCTTGATTTTTTTTTAAGTACAAGCTAGAAACACTTGCATTTTTGGTAAAAATAAGTGGAATTGAGTGGGTGTTCGATAGTGGTCGCGCTATTAGAACTCTGAATTCAAAAATCGATATCTCGAAATCTATTAGAAATAAGAGATTGTAGTTTTTTCAAGAACTTTGTTAATATTTCTGCTGTATTTTCTTTGTAAACAGTATGTGAAAATATTTATCAATAAAGAAATTACACGATTGCTGAAAATTGCTATGCTCTAAAAGTAAATGGATGGATTGTTTACAATTTTTGAATGGAAGAAACAACCTTATCGAATTTTTCTTATGTAAACATATTGTAAAATATCCGATCTTGAAAATAAAAAATTGGCGCCGGGAGGCACGTATAGCCGCCCATACTAAAATATGTTAATATCTCGAAAACTGCGACTTTGACTGACTCTGATGTTATTACAAATTTTGTTGCAAATATTATTCCTAATCTTAATTTGAAAACCGCGTTTCGCTAGCTACTGTAATTTTGGAGTTACGATTTTTTTAAATTTTTAACCCCCTCCCATACCCCCTTACCAACCCTCCACCCCCACCAAAAACTAATGGCCAGATTTTCGGGTGCCACAGTATTTTTGTGCCAAATTTGGTTAAAATCGGTTCAACGGTTTTTGAGTTATCGTGTTACAGACGGCAGACGGACAGACAGACGGACAGACACACAGACAGACAGAGAAACACCATGAAAATATTTTGTATTTAGGTCATTTATGACCCAAATAACTCATTTTGAGTGAAATTAAAAAAAACTTTTTTTGCCCATCTTAATAGCCTACCATACCTATTGGTATGGTCGGCTAAAAAAAGTATCAATATCTAAAGTGGTTCTTGAGTTATGGCCTGTTATGTGTTAAAAAGTTGAGTTTTTAAATTATCGCGATTACTGATGTTTTCTCGTTATATAAAAAATGACACCCTAACGATATCCTTATAATTCCATTTCAGATGCTCCGAAACATGTCTAATGATTTTATCTACTTAGCTATCTGTTGAAAAAAAGTCTTTTAAAAATAAGCGGTTTGCGATCGTGATTTTACTTTACTTAATAGGGAAAGGCGTACCGGCAACGCCGCAACAGCACACCGTCGCTTTTCTCTCACTCCGACTTAATAAGATCCCTATGCGATTTACTTCCACACATGTAAATGCCGACCCAAAAGTAACAGTTGCCAGCACGGTATAACATAGAAAGCCAGAATGTTGTCGGAAAGTTCTGACAATGAAGACTACTTTAACATTGGTACTCCACCAGAACTTACAGAAGCTGCAAAAAGAGCAGAAGGCAGTTTACTTCCCGAGAAAAGTAGGGGGCGATATGAAATAGAATTGAAAGTATACGAAAAATGGTGCCGAAAGAAATGCTAAGAATATTGCTTCGGAGACAGTCTTGATGGCATATTTTAGCGACATGGCAAGGCAGAAAAAGCCATCTACTCAGTGCTAGAATTAAGGGAAAAGACTGACATATCAAATAATCACAAACCCGTCGCTTTTTTAAAACGCCAGAGTGTAGGTTTTAAGCCAAAGAAGTCTAGTATTTTTACCAGGCAAAACTTGGAGTATTTTCTCACGAAAGCACCTCAAGAATTCCTTCCTATTAAAGTAAGGCGTTTGTTTAAATGTTTTCTTTTTCTGTTTTTAAATATTTCTTTTCATTGTTTTAGGTTGCGCTTATAGTAAGTGTGCCTGGGGCATGTCGAAGTGATGAGCTACTGAAGATGAAAACTACGCATATTGATATTTTAGAAAACAAAATTTGCATAGAAATTCCCGATACAAAAACTTATAAGATCAGATCATTTATGATAACTAACACAAGTTGGATAGAAATTGTGAAAGAATTTATACAGTTACGAAAAGATATTGAAAATGAGAGATTTTTTGTTCAATATCGATTAGGAAAAGCTCGAAATCAACCCTTTGGATACAATTATATCTAAATTTCCATACAAAATTGCTAGCTTTTTGAAACTTCCTAATGCGAAAACCTACACAGGTCATGCTTTTAGACGAGCAGCGGTTACGTTGCTGGTAAATAGCAGAGCTGATATTTTACAGCTGAAGCGTCTAGGGGGATGGAAATCCAGTGCTGTGGCTGAGGGTTATGTGGATGCATCTGTAGCCAACCAAATTAAAACCGCAAATATGATATCTTCAACGACATCGTTGCCATGGTCTTTCTGTAGCAATTCAAACTCGTTACCTCCTTTCGTTGACATTAGAAGACCGGGCACAAGTCAATGAGTGAAACACATCATCAGGGCGGCCCCTTAACAGTATCGATTAACGAGTACAATAAGTAAAATTTGACCATTAATTTCAACAAATAAATGTATTAAAATCTTCAATTATTATTGTTAATCTTCTTGTATATTTTTGTTGATGTTAGATAAGTATTTAATAAAGATATTACAAAAATATTTTGCTTAATTAAAAGAGGCTATAAACAAGAAAAACCGAGTGAGGGAAATGGAAGAGGGAAGAAATGTAGATAATTTGACACTTTCAAATTTTTTAAAAATCAGTAATATCAGTATTACATAAAATGTGGTTGTAAATAAATAATTTTATTGCATTATAGGTTAGTGCCTAAATATGAGATGCCTATCATGAGATACTGTAGATTGCCTGGAGGACTGTACTATTATTCCGTTGTCAAACCAGGAAGAAGAATACCTCTGGAAACAGCCAGCTCTATGGAAAATTATGTAAGCAATACTGATGAACAAGACTGTTCTTGGTCTTGGCCTTGCAAGAAAAGCAAGACCAAGACCAAGATCGATCAGTGCAAGACTTCCGCCAAGACCAAAACCAAGCATGCAAGGCTCCTCCAATCTTACAATTTTTTAAACGAGCGAAACATATTTAATAATATCTTATGAGTAAGGTGATCGGAAAATAATATACAGTGTCTTCCAATTAAAAAAAATCATCCCAATCCACTCACACATTTTTGACCCAACCTATATACAAGTTAAAATATTTTCCTTGAACACATCCTAATGCCGGGTCCAGACCAAGCAGACAAAACAACGGCAAGACAGAAACATTCATGATTTACGACAAAATTGCTACAAATCCAATACATTTCTGCGACATTTTTGTCTCATTTTTGTTTTGTTTCAAAATTCGGAGACTTTTCAATGTCCCGTCTCGAGTCGGTAAAGGTCAAAGTGTCTATGGTTTGTTGGTATATTTTACGACAAGTTGTCGGCGCAGTGTGGATGGCGTGTACTGCCAATGGGGAATTTTGACAAGACAAACTTGAAACAAATTATCCACACCGCAAAGACAAAAGTACAAAAAAGTCAAAAGTTTAGTTGTTGCGAATGAGTTTTATTAACCATGAGTGATTTCAATGGTCTCCTACTGTTGGCAGTACACGCCATCCACACTGCGCTGAAAACTTGTCGTAAAAAATATGAACAAAACATAGACACACTCTGATCTTTACCCACTCGAGACGGGACATTGAAAACCCTCCGAATTTTGAAACAAAACAAAAATGAAACAAAAACGTCGCGGAAATGTATTGGATTTGTCGAAATTTTGTCGTAAATCATGAATGTTTCTGTCTTGCCGTTGTTTTGTCTGCTTGGTCTGAACCCGGCATAATAGACATAACAGATATTATTTAAGTTTATTATAGTAATATCTGTGGTAATATTTCGATCAAAATGTCAAGAATTTAGCAGAATAGTTAAATAACTGTACCTTAATTACCCAGCATGCAGGATTAAACACAACCAAATACACTATGAATTCACATTTTCATTTTCATCTATTAATTCATTTCACTAATTTAACCACAAACCAAATAATATCCGAAAATACAGACAAATGTTTTCTATAAATAGGTTTCACTAGCTTCATTTTGGTTTTTATCAAGTTTTTATCACTGGACGCAAGGAAAAACATTCGTTTTTTTGACACTTTTGTTAATAACGCCAAACCATAGCCACCTAATTGAAGATTCCTGCTATTGATAATTTAAATAGATGAGTTAAAAATGAATATTATTCTTTTATTTTATTTCGGTTGTTTGAAGCAAAAAATAAAATAAATTTATGAAAATGATAACAATTGAAAGATTTTAAAAAATATATTTTTGTATTTTATATAACAACCTCTTTCGTATAATTTGTTCTCATTTTCCTTGATTTAAATACTAATAATAGTTTTTAATTTTTGATTACTTACTTCTTATTTACCAAAATAATGAAGTTATATCACTTGTTTAATATACGTACCGTATGGTCGAAAAAAAAACGGCGTCCAGTTGGCTTGAAGATGAAAATCGAGGACCATAATGACTTATAATTTTACATTTAAAATGATAGCGATCTTTATTTCATAACCACTGACTTAGAATATGGTGCCGAAGTTTCTGGAATACACTTCGGACCACCCTGTATTATACTAATAATCTTTTTATTTTATGGTATAGGGACAAGTGTTTATTACAGGAACCTGCCGAAATCTGGAAACCCAAGGATTCTTCAAACTGCATTTTAACGAATACAGCAGAGTTGAAACAATTACCTGTTTGACAAAATTTGTAAGTACCTATTATTCTCACAGCTTATTTAAAACCAGCTGGTCACCGTCGCTTGTTTTTAGTTATATGCATTCCAGTTCTCGAACATATTTACATTCTTATGATAATTTCTAGCCAGTCAACATCAAGAATATTTACTGCCTCTGGGGCAAGCACGAAAAACTCCTCAACAATCTCCAGCTTCGTTTTGAGATGGTGCTGATCACGGACTTTTTCGAATACTTTAAACAGCCATGGGCATATGCTTTGTACCACGATCGATTTGACAGTTTAATAGATGAATTAAACAATCTAATGACGTCTTCAGTGGTAAGAAATTGTTTGACACTTTTCCGTGATAACTAATATTATAGTTTGTTCAACGGGAAGTCTCCTGACAGTGACAGTCATGTCTTCTTTTTAATTAACAGGCAAATCGTATTTTCTGTCATTTTCGTCTGTCGAAATCTTCCCTGAGTCGTTGAGCAAACTTTATAATTCTCTAAGGTCTAAGTGATCCTACAGACACTCAGTTCTCTCCCAAGCTGTCTGTATAGGCAAGTTTGCGCAGTTTAATCTGTATTACTGCCTGTCGTACATATTATACACACCACAGAAAAATATAAACAGGCAGTTTTATAGCACATCTTTGTCTACAGTGAATTAAGTGAAGCATTCACTAATAGTTAGAGCACTTTTTTACAGAGAAGATAGCTTCCAGTGATATTTTTCTATATTGCATTCAGCGCGCTTATGCGATAAAAAATTTTTTATTCAAACGTCACAAAAGTATAAAATATCATAATATAAAAAAGTCATCTTAACGCCTAGGCATAAAAGTAAATTTTTAAAATAAACATAAAAAACTTTTACGCCTAAGCTGAAGGGTAAACCGCTGACGAATTTCTATACGCTAATGCCAAAGTAATGCGAAATAATTTCGTACTAATACTAATAATACCACGAATAATGCCAAAAATACCAACATCTTTTACACCAAAATACACCAACAGTTTACCCCAAAGAATATACCTAACTAGAAAAAGAATGGACTCTGCCATACTGAAAAATGGTCCTACAGAAGTGGCGCCATCTATTGAGTAGGGTTTGTTTTAAATGGATCGAAGCGCGGGCTTTTTAAATGAGCGTATTTATTGAATTTTACTCTAAAATAATTAAATTTGATTATTAAGTCTTATTTTTTACACAAATTCAACAATAATAACAAGTACCGTTGTGATGTGTAAAAAATAAGATTTAACAGAATAATTTATACAATTATTATATAAAATTAAAGCCAAACAAGTGTAAATATTATTTATTATTTAAAGTTTTTATTGGTTTCCCCTCGGCCTAAGCACAAAAGTACGAAAATATATTATTAAACTGACATAAAGTGCCAAATTCAACGAGCCCATAATCATAGTTTGTCGATATATATAATTACATAGAAGATATTAGGAAATATTTTTTATATTATTTGGAACATTTAAAATTGTTTAAAAATTATTTGTGGCGTTTGAAAAAAAAATAGCATGTTCTATTCGGAGTAAAAATGACTTTTTGTGCCTTGGCTAACGTACAGTCATTTTTTCTGCTAATAAACTAATATACTATTTTAATATGACTGTAAGTAATTGTGCCTTTCATTCCCTCATTTGATGATAGTTACTTAAAATTAATTCACATTGGGTCAATGTACGTTTATTTATTACAATTTTATTAGGTACCAAACGAAGAATGCTTGATTACTGAAATTATCGAAATGTATAAAGACCGCAAATGGCAACATGTAAGTATTAAATTATATAACGAAGAAATTATTCGTTTTGTTTAATATATATCTTTTATTAACAGCTTACACCAGAACAACAAGAGGAAATCGAACTCAAATTTCCAAGTATGCTCTATCCGAAGATAGTCGAACAAAAAGTTCTTGATTTTATTCAACAGAATCTACAGTATTTGCCGATGTATGCTCATCCTTTTGTGATTAGAACTATATTGGAAGGATATGACAAAAGTCCACTGTTTACTAAATAAAGTTTTAAGTAAGAGCACGCATTTCATATTTTTAAAAGTAAATCCGATCTGTAGATACTTAACACAATTTTTAAGATAAGAGAATCAAAATACCGCTGTTTTTCGGCACAAGAGGTTTATTTTTTTTCCTTTCGTTCTTCTTCTAAATAGATCACCCTATGTACCTTCTAGTTTTTGAATTATACCACAAATAACATAAACTGTGATACTGTGATTATATGTTATCGGTGATTCTACATAAAATTCCAAACACATGAATACAAGGTGTTTCAAAAACATGTGCCATCTCTCGTGGGGAGATTCCTCACGTAAAAATAAGATTTATTTTTCATATCAACATAGGTCCGATTCTGCTTTAATTCGTAGCCACAGGGGGTTATAGTGTTATAGTTTTAATATTTTCTCGATTTATTATAATTTTCTTTCAAGTACTTTTCGCAATTCGAATGAAATTTTGAGGGTAACACCACAGATTATACAGATTATAAACTTTGTTTTTTCTTTATTGTTTTTCGTGGTTCCATTTTCGGAATCGGGCACTAGTTATGTTACTAGTTTGCGCACATAGCACGCCCACTTATGGCCTCTAAAACTGGACACAGCGCCTGACCGGCACAGTTATTAGAGAGATATCGGAAAACCGAATAGCGTCATGCAGTATTTACGCGTACCTTATCATGGTTACAATATGCGCGAGTCTGTTATATCCACCTATTAGTATGGTTATGCCCTCTTAATAATGTATCCTCTTAATCTCGACATTTCCAGAATGTACTGTGAAGTGTCAGCAGTTAAAACTTATAAATTCTCCATTGCTTGGGCGTACCTTTAAGTCTTTGTTGGTACGTTTCAAGAGCATATTGTTAATGTGTCAATAAAGCTTCACCGTCGTAAAACTGAGTTTTTTTTTAAAACAAAAGCACCACAAAAAGAACTTTAACTAGTCAATTTTTAACGCAACACCCGCTAATAACGTTACCGCCTGACGCAATTTGCGGATCAATTACACCAAGCGCTATTTCTAAATAACGTTTAAAAATTGCTTAAATGGGCATGTGCGTGTATTTGACAACCGGGGCCGGCCGGCGAGATCGTTTTAGGTTATGTTTGAATTGTTTTGAATTATTACTACTTACTAGTTTTAATAGGTAATTTGATATTTAAGTAGCTGGGATTAGTTTTAATTAAATAAATATGGCCCAAAATATGGATTCCACCTCTTCCAATATTAAAGAACCTATAAAAAGAGGCGTAGGTTTACAGCAGATGACGACTTAGCTAGGGTTCCCAACCGTCCCGGTTTGGCCGGGATTAACCAGGAATCAGAAAGTTTGTCCCGGCGAAAGTTTTGCCTTGGCCGGGACCTGGACACTAAAAAAGGGTATACTACACACATAATATATTTTAATTTCTAATATTTACTGTTTTGTTTCAATTATTTAAAAGCTTAAAAATAATTGTCCCGGAATCGCCGATGCTCAAGTTGGGAACCCTAGACTTAGCCCTTCTAAGAGAATTTGTGGCTTGTTGCCCTAAACCCACTGGCAGACGTTGAACAATGAAGCACTGGAAATAAGCACTTTAGCCCTTTAGTTTTAAAATACCTAGTAAACAAAACAATTTCAAAGTTTTAAATTCAAAGTTAGGTTAAGTTTAAATAGCGGACGCGACGCGAATAGAATTCTTTCCGATTCGATAACTATAAATGAAAAAAGTTAATACCACCTCACGTAAAGGAAATAAAGCCGGAGTCTCATGCATCCGAAATCCGATGACACGACGATCCGACGGTGCTCCTATTGGTCGAAATATTTTGACACCAATTTTATCCGATATTTTTAACTAATTGTCCGACGTCGTATAAAGTTAAATTTTGTTTAACTTTTGTACGATATCGTGTGCTTTTTAACCCCACTTTTTTTGAAAACATTGGTTCTTAAAATCAAGTTTAGTGGGAAGTGGGCAATTTCGGGATATTTGGCGAGGAAGTTATTTTTATAAGTGTTTCTCCAATAATTCATGGAATAATACATAATAATAATACATAGTAATTACAGGTTTAAATGTCAAAACTGTCAAATTTCGGAACGAACTTTCGGATGTATGTGACAGGCTTTTTTTATTTCACACGATAACTTTAAATTTCGGATGTCGTACCATCGGATTTCGGATGCATGAGACTCCGGCTTAACACCTGGCCTTATTAACGTCCATGCACTATTCGGTTTAGCGATATCTCTCTATTACGTTGTTTATTGTTATTTTACGCGAGTTTATTTTTGCGCACAGGAAATTTTACTCGTTTGCACATCGTCATAAAAAACAATTTTCGTAGCACGAATTAAGGATAAGATTTTTATCTGTATACATATAGTATACCTAATCTGAGGTAACACTTACTAGAAGTGAGACCCTTGAGTGAGACAATGAGTGAGACATATTTTAATGCTAAAAAAGTCTCGAATAACATATCGTAGGTATGTCAACTTTTGATACTTCCAATAATTTGTATCAATTAAAAAAAATAGCAAAATTTCAATCTATGCAGTGTCATCGCGAGTGAAATGTAACGACAATTTGACTGGAAATAGCAAGTATGTGATTTTAAATAAACATTTGTAAAAAATGCTTTTCCAAATATACTAATGTGAGACCTCTCATTTCGTCTTCTTGCTCTGAAGGGAATAGGGATGTTAATAGGGATCCCGGAAGAAAATTTGCCTCGAAAAATCCCGGGATTGGATTATATAAATACCGATTTTTCATGCCATAGAGTAAATTGCTTAATTTCGGAACTAAATAACTTAATATTTCCCTAATTAAATCAGAGATAGAAAAATTTTTAACCAGACAAGAGCTCGACAATTCATCAGATACTTCTAGAGGAGGAACCAGCAACGACAGCGCAGAGGATGAGCCCATTGCCGAACTTCTGAGAAGAGAAGGTAATGAACCTTTAAAGGTTAAACTGCAGAAAGCATTACAACAATCTTCAAAGCCGATAAAACCCAAAAGAAGTAATAAGACGCGATTGTCCGACATTAGGTATTACCCAAGAAATTGAATTATTCTCAAATGGTGGTAGTCGGAGACGTAACAAGAACAGTTAACCTAATAGGACTGCTCATTCAGCCAAAAGTGTCTGCCAGGTGCATGCCAAAACTCCTCGCTTTGTGACGTCATTGTAGTCCTTGTCATGGTTATTAGTTCTTATCCGGCAACCAATAATACACACACGTGCATTATTGGTTGCCGGATGCAAAACGTTCATTATTTAATTTATTTATTTAAACACCTTATATGTATGCAGTATAGAAAATGAACTGTATAAATCGTATTAAATACTCGGATAATGCATTTTTAAGAACAGCAGTTCCCAGCATCACCTTTTGCAGGCATTCTTTTTAGAGTACTTCCATATTTTGCTTTAAAATAATTATAAACAATATCGTAGGCACTTAGTAAGCACTTTGTCACAATCCACAACACAAAATGAACGTATTTATACTGTTGCGGACCCATACCGTGTGAACTCGGCCTTAGGCTTGGCCACTCGGCTATGACTCATACGCCCACCGACGTTCGAAGAACGCCGCTAAGAATTTTCGAGATATGTCTGGACTGTCTGTTTCTCTCATATATAAGCCGATGCCCGAAACCTGAAGGAGATAGAGAGATAAATAACCGATCGACGCGTACAGTTACAATCGCCGCGCTAATTCGAAATAAATTTCTGTTAGATAAATAATTAGATAAATTGTAAATAAGTTATAAATCGTTCTTTAAGTCTTTTATCGTTATTGTTTTTGTTAATTAGTGTTAAATAAATAGTGTTTAAATAAATTGTGACTTTCTATCCACACGGAACCGACGAAAAACGTAACAATACACTCTATAGCTCTAAAAACTTTAAAAACACCTTTTTCACATTTAAAATTGACAAAATAATTGGCTCAAAATTTCTCAGCTGTTAGTTTACCATAGGCAACTAATAATACTACATATAGGCAACTAATAATACTACATACTATCATGACTAGGACTACAATGACGTCACAACTGTCAGCGGAAGCGCGGGAAGAGGCGAACGTACGTCTTATGAGGATGAGCAATCCTATTAGTTTACCGTTCTTGGGGATGAAATCTCCAAAAAGCTTTTGAATTTTGATCAACCATTCAGGCCACCGGCTTGGAAACTGAAAGCTGTTTTTCTTTGGCAGGGATTTGTGTAATAAGATACGTTCAAGACTGAGGGATGAAACTTTGGACGCATTATTTTTGCGCTATTTTTTAAAAATTTGTAGCTATAATTTGTTTGGTGTTCATATGATTTTTAGCCGACCATACCAATAGGCAAAAAAATTTCATTCAAAAAATTTAAAAAACCCGTAACTCCAAAATTACAGTAGCTAGCGAAATGCGGTTTTCAAATTAAGATTAGGAATAATATTTGCAACAAAATTTGTAATAACATCAAAATCAGTCGCAGTTTTCGAGATATTACCATATTTTAGTATGGGCGGCTATACGTGCCTCCCGGCGCCAATTTTTTTTAAAGAGTTTTTTTTTGTTAATTTTCGTGTTTTTTTATATTTATATAATTTTTTTTTATGATATTAGGTATTTCATTGATAATTTTAAACCCGGGATTTGTCGTTCAAATCTCGGAAAACCCGGGATTTTGAAAACCTTTCGAGATTGACATTCCTAGAAGGGAATCAAAAATTTCAGAAAAGAAGCAACTAATTTATTGCTTTTTGTAAGCACGGGTATTTAAAAAAAAATATAAGTAGTTTATTCGCGAATAAATAAAAATTTACAGTATCGTTTTAACCAATGACTAAAGAATCCAAGGGAGCAAATTGTGACGATGTCACCAAACAGTGCCGTGGCACATATTTTTCTTAACCTAGCTGTTTGAAGAGATATTTATATTTTTTGATAAAAATGTTTTGACTACGCCTAAAATTTATTTTTATAACAAAATGATGACTGGTTAAAGGAGCAACCTTGA